TCTAGAATGTCATAAAAGGTAAACCATACAGCTTGTAGCCTCTTCAGCCTGGCTTATTTCACTTAGCAGTGTACCAGGTAGGATTCATCTATGTCTCTGTGTAGGGTGATAGTTCATTCCTTTATATTCTGTGTTGGTTATGCATTCAGCTATGGGAGAATGTTCTTATTTATGATCTGAGCAGCAACATAGAGCTGCTATGCATAATTACATGCTAGTTTTGTTTTGACATACGTTTTCAAAGAACTTCTCTAAATGAAGATAATTTATAGGGACATTGTTGGGTCATAGATTGGACTTTTTTTTTTTTTTTTTTTTTTTTGCTTTGGGAAGAACTGGCACATCATCTTCCAACGTGGCCATGTCACATGTTCTCCTAGTAATGCCTGAGACTGCTGGTATCTTGCATCCTGTAGCTGTTAGTGCACTGCTGTTTCTTAAAGTTCAGCAGTTCTAATAGCTGTGCCATGCTACCTCACTATTGTTTTAATTTATGATTCCCTGATGATATGGGATGCTGAACATCATTTTTTTATAACTATTTGCCATCTTTGTATTTTCTCTGGTCATGTGTCTGTTCAGACATTTACTCATTTTAATTGGATTTTTAGTTGTTGGTTTTTAATAATTCTTTTTGTATTTTGAATAAAAATTTCTTTTCAGAAATGGGTATGTTAAATAATTTATCCCAGTTCATGGCTTATCTTTTGTTATCTCTTTTAAAGAGTAGGAAAAAATTGTGTGTGTGTGTGTGTGTGGTGCTGGGAATTGAACCCCAGGCCTCACATAAACTAGGCAAGTGCTCTACCACTGAGCTATAGCCTATCCTTTGAAAAATTTCCTAGGCTGGCCTCAAGTTTGCAATCTTCCTGCCTCAGCCTTTTGAGTAATTGGGATTTTTGGCATGCAACAGTGCACTTGGTAAAAATTTAATTTTATAAAGTCCATGTTATTGGTATTTTTTTTCAGTCAGTTGGCATTTGGTTTGTGAGTTAAAACTCATCACCAAGGACTGGGGAAATAGCTCAGTATTAGAAAGTTTGTGTAGCATGTGTGAAGCCCTGCATTCAATCCCTCGTACCAGAACAAATATACACCACCATCACTAAATCTAAGAACACATAGATTTTCTTATTTCTTTCCAGATTTTTTTTAGTTTTATCACATTTTAGTTATGGACTATTATGAGTTAATTTTTGTAGGAGTTTCTGATTGTGTCTACATTCATTTCACTCAATATGGTTCAAATAACGTGTTAAATCACCATTTCTTAAAAAAAAGGATAATGGGTTTCATTTTAGTTTGAATTTTCAAAATCATGGCTTTGAATAATCTAGATACAGTACTGAATTTCATCCATTTCTCAGGAATGCCAGGGGGGTGTCCATACACCACTTAATTGAAGCATTCTGTGCTGGGTCCTAATGACCACCAGAGAGTATGTGCCACCTTCCTGGATATGGTAGTGTCATAATACTGTTATGGTGGAATGATAATGCTAACATGTTGTCCAACCTCTAATGCTAATGTATTATCCATAGTAGTCTTTGATGCTATTGTGTCCACATGTGTCCTCTAATATAAATATAGTGTCCTTAGAGTGGCCTTGAACACTAATTCAACAGCTTCCATATTAATATAATGTCCACATCATGGCCTCTAATACTAAAATAATATTCACAACATGGCATCAAAAACTAATATAGGGGATGGGGATATGGCTCAAGTAGTAGAGTGCTTGCCTGGCATATGTGGGGCACTGGGTTTGATCCTTAGCACCACATAAAAATAAAATAAAAATATTTTGTCCACCTAAAGGTAAAAAAAACTAATATAACAGCTGCCCTGTGGCCTCTAATCCAAATATAATATACATAACTATAACATCTAAAACAAAACAGTATCTCCCTGTGATCTTTAACACTAATATGATATCCATAGTGTAGCATCTAATGCTAATATAATAGCTGCCCTGTGTCCTTTCATGTTCTTATGGTATACATAGCTATTATGGTTTAGATATGAGTTGTCCTTTAAAAACCTCATATGTGAGACAATGAGAGAAAATTTAGATGTGTAGTGACTGGATCCTGAGAGCATTAACCTACATCAGTGCACCAACCTAATGAAAACATTAACCCTATTATCCACTTATAGGGATTAACTGGGTGGTAACTGTAGGGTGTAACTGGATGAGGAGGGTAAATGGTGGCATTCCGTTGAGGTTAATATTTTGTCCCTGGGGAGAAGAGCTCTCTCTCTCTCTCTCTCTCTCTCTCTCCATCTCCATCTCCATCTCCATCTCCATCTCCATCATGTTTGCCAGCTTTTCTTCTCTACAGTTTTGGACATGATGTTCTGTTTCACTTTGGACCAAGAGCAAGTAAGGTGACTGGCATTGTAGCTCAGTGGTAGAGTGCTTGCCTAGCATGTACATTGATTACTAAAAAATTTTTTTTAAATGAGCAATTGAGTTGTGTGTCTTTGGACTGAGACCTCTGAAACCATGAGCAGCAAATAAGCTTTTCCTCCTCTAAAATTGTTCTTGTCAGATCCTTTAGTCACAGTGGTGAAAAAGCTGACTAACTCAGAAATTGGTACTGAGAGTGGGTTTTTGCTATGAATAACCTATATGATTCAGAAGTCTTTGGAGCTGGTTTGTTGGGGGAGGAATTTTGAAATGTTTAGAGATGCAAGTTGTAAGAGGTTTAGCATGTTGCAGGTGGAGCTTAATGAGGGATTCTGGTGGGAGCTCAGAAGTCTAAAATGCCAATAGAATTGTAAAAAGCAAAGACTGGACTTGTAAAGTTTCAGAGGAAGAAAACTGTATTGAAATAGGACTAGAGGGCATTCATGTTGCACTCTTGCTAGGAAGTTCTCTACATTTTGCCTGTGTCCTGAGACATTCTATGAGGTTGAATTAAAAGGTGATGAATTAATTAATCGGGCAAAGGAAATTTCAAGGCAATACAGCATTCAGGTAGTGAGATGGATATTGCTGGTGACCTTTAGTCAAATTTACTGTGGATCAGATCAGAAAGCAGAGCAGAAAGATTTTAGCAATTTCCAGTTTTCCCAGAAAAATATAAAATCGGGGTGAAGGAAGTTGTGATTGCTAAGAACATTACAGCCACAACAGAGATGCTAAATTACTTTACCCAGAGACAATATAAAAGATGGCTTGTGGTCATCTTAGGAATTGAAAAGACCTCACCTATCTCTGGCTCAAAGTTATAAAAGTAAAATTTCTTTGAGACCATTTGTATACCTGCTTGTACAAGGTGGGCTGGGAAGTTGTTTCACCATGCCAGTCACTCAGAGGCTACTACAGCCATGGTCATAGAAATCTTGACTACTGCTTGAGATGGTGGAAGAACTTGGCATCAACCACATGGTGCTTTTTCTTTTTAAATTTTTTTTTAGCTGTAGATGGACACAATATCTTTTTATTTATTTCTTTGTGGTGCTGAGGATAGAACCCAGTGCCTCACACATGCTAGGCAGGTGCTCTACCACTGAACTATAGCCCAAGCACCTTATTTTCTTTTTTTTTTTTTTTATGACTGCAGGACATTGGAGTTAGGGGGTTATGGAGGCTTCCACAGAGATTTCAAAGGAAAACCTGGGAGGCCAGCAAAATGGTTAGTTGCTGTGGGCAGCCCCTGAGAGAGTGATGTATGAAGTGAGAAGGAAGCTGGAACTGTAGTGGAGACCCCAAGATTAAGAGATTCCAGTACCAAGGAAAGTCTGCCAAAGAAAGTTGTGGGAATCAAACAGATGTATAAGCTGAGAGAGTCTTGTGAGTCGCAACCAGCAAAGCCATAGAGCAGAGCTACACAAGCCCTTTTGGAGAGAACATCACCATGCCATGTGCCTCAGATGCTGGATGTGGAACTATAGGTTTTGTGTGTCAAATTGAGTTTTAGTGTCGGTTTGGTCTCACTGGTACCAGTCTTGGAGATCAAGAACAGGTCCTTGTTCCCCTGATGTTGAAGATTAAACACCTGAGAAATGCTTAGGCAATCATGGAAACCAAGTTTTATTTAAGAAAGAGATGAAGATAGACTTCTCCAAAGAACAGGGAGCCCAGAGTTGGATGTCTGTAGGGATGGGTGTGTCTTCCTCTTTTATATACCCCAGAACCCTCACATTCTCCTTCTTCACATATGTGCCTAAAGGCAGGAAGAAGCAGGCATCTGACATATCTGGTCCCCCTAGGCTAGGCAGGGCTGCATGCAGATTGCTTTTTTGGCAAAGAAACCACTTGGGTGCTGGGTTTCTGTTCTCTTGACTAAGAGGCTCAGGGATCATGCCAGTTAAACTGGGCTAATTGGGCTGCATAAAATAACCACTGACCTTAAGGGTCCGCAGAAAGAGAGAGAGCGAGAGCATGCGCTGATCCCTTTTATTGAGGAGAAGCTATTCAAATGAGGCAAGGGGTCAGGTTTCAGGGGGCTGAGTCTATCTTCATGATGTCCACTGTTAGCAGGTTGACTGACACCTGGGTAGGCCACACCCGAGGGCACAGTTAGAGAAGGGAACACACACAAGGCACTTCCATGGAAGATTCTATCCTAAACAGGGCAAGGGGTTATGTTACAAAGGAACAGGTGAGCATAGCTTCACTCATGGGGCTGTAGCAAGACACACCTATGCATGAGACACTGACCCTCAAACCCAAGAAGGGTGGGGGAAGCTCTGCCACATTTCTGTGACTGAGCACCTCAGCACCCAGCAGGGGATTGTGACTCAGTCAAGTGCAAGGTTGGTCTCCCACACGTGGGGAGTCAGTACAGTGGGCTTATTTTATATAATTATTCTCTTAACCTTATGTTTCCACCATACTCATCTATCTCTCCTTGACACCACCCTTGCTTTAAAAGACCCTGTGCTGTTATATGTTGAATTATATGTAACTTGCTTTTGATTTTTATGGGAGCTCATTGTTGAGAATTTGCCTTGAATCTCAGAAGAGACTTTGGACTTGGCCTTTTGAGTAATGCTTCACCTCCTGGCTCCGCGTTCGGTTCGGCACCTGGAACTGGATCTGGAGGTGCTGCTACGGTGCCGCCTCCGCCACGGTCCTAGCGCCGCTCGGCTTTGTGCTCCATAAGCCCCCGGCAGTGGGCAGGAACCGCCGTCACCACCGGCACCCGCGCGGGGGGCCGGGTCCTGCCGCCGCCCACCCCCGGCTGCGCTGGCGCGCGGACGGCCGTTCCCTGGAGAAGCTACCTGTACATATGGGCCTGGTGATCACCGCGGAGGAGCAGGAGCCCAGCTTCTCGGACATCGCGAGCATCGTGGTGTGGTGTATGGCTGTGGGGATCTCCTACATTAGCGTCTACGACCACCAAGGTATTTTCAAAAGAAATAATTCCAGATTGATGGATGAAATTTTAAAACAACAGCAGGAACTTCTGGGCCTAGATTGTTCCAAATACTCACCGGGGTTTGCAAATAGTAATGACAAAGATGATCAAGTTTTAAATTGCCATTTGGCAGTGAAGGTGCTGTCCCCAGAAGATGGAAAAGCAAATATTGTGAGAGCTGCTCAGGACTTTTGCCAGTTAGTAGCCCAGCAGCAAAAGAGATCTACAGATTTGGATGTAGATACGTTAGACAGTTTACTTAGTTCAAATGGTTACCCTGATCCTGATTTAGTATTGAAGTTTGGTCCTGTGGACAGCACATTAGGCTTTCTTCCCTGGCAAATCAGATTGACTGAGATTGTCTCTTTGCCTTGCCACCTAAACATCAGTTATGAGGACTTTTTCTCTGCCCTTCGTCAATATGCAGCCTGTGAACAGCGTCTGGGAAAGTAGTGATCCCTGGTTGCATAATTTGATTTCAGGCTTTTGGAGAAAAGGACCCAAGTGACTCTGATGTTTACAAAGCACCTATGAAACCCTGTGCACACCTAGTTCATATTCCTCATAATTTATCAACAAACACAAAAAAGTGTCTTACTTGAGAGTGAGTGTATGGCTGTGTGTGTGTGTGTGTGTGTGTGTGTATGTGTGTGTGTGTATGGAATTAAACTTATAAATGGGGGAAGTATTGGATAATGAAATATATAGATCTACAACTTTGAGCATATAGCAATGTTATAGGAGCCAAGATTTCAGATATAAAGCTTTGGGCCCCTACCACTTCCCTGTTTTTGTGGGGAGTAGAGGGAGAGAGTGACTAGAACTGTTTGGGTTGTTTGGGGAGAAGGGAATAATTTTTGTTCAGTCTTTCCTAGTGACCAAACTTTAATTTTTAAAAATAATATATTATTAAATCAAGGTATTCTCAGTTTGAGGGAGTTGCAGGGGAGTGGAGTTCTGTGTTGCTCACTTGTTAAAAGCTTGCTCCTCTTCAGAGGAGAGAGAATATCTATCTTGAGATATCCATCCACTTTCATTTCTTACTTCATTGTAGTTAAACAATGTGACTTGAGAATGTTGCTCTGGTGTCTGTGTTCTGTGTTGTGAAGAACATTTGAAAAGAACTCTTGCTACACTGAAATGCAGAATTTAAAAAATTTAAATGTTGAATTAGGCAGTCAAAAGGGAAAAAAGTTGAATAAGTTGTAATCTTAAAAGTAAACATGGAAAATTTCCTAGAAAAGTTTTGATTTCCTATTTTGTGTAATGAGTAGTATGCTGCATACTATCCAAAGTTGGTTTAAAAAATATTTCCAGTAACTATTTTTATTTAAAATGAGCATTTGAGAGAAATTATTAGGGCAGCTCTTTTCCTTAGTAGTAACCTATTCATCTTTAAAATAACACCTGGGATTTTTTTTTTTCTTTTCCAGTAAATTCCAGTGGTGACTTTGCATAAAAAATTAAGTAGGATTGAGACCTGTGTGTGGGGAAGAATATTACCAAAGTCTACAAAAATAATTTAGATTAATTTTATATGTTCTCTTTTATGACAGAGAACTCATTGGTTCTGTTTTTTTAAATGAATAAATGATTTCTTGAAAGGTGTTTAATATTTTCCCCTCACTGCTGATCCTTGGACAGAAACCATACTTTATATTTGATGGTCTGTTTTCAGAAAACTCTCTTACAACAAGTGTACAGTAGTTATCTAAAATTGTACTTTTAAAATGGAGTAGTGTAAATACTAGGTCTCAGAAGTCTGAAAAACAGCAAAGAAGACTGAATTTGGAAAGCATGGTCTGGAATTGCTTGTCAGATTCTAAAGTAATGAAGAATAAATGTTTCAACTTTGGATTATAAAACCCCATTTATGATTTTAAAAATACACTTGAAATAAAAATGATTAAACTAAAAAAAAAAAAAAAGAATATATGGACTCTTGGGCTGGGATGTAGCTCAGTGGCAAAGCATCTGCCTTGCATCCACAAAGCCCTGGGTTCAACCCCTAGTAATGAGAGAGAGAGAGAGAGAGAGAGAGAGAGAGAGAGAGAGAGAGAGAGAGAGAGAGAAAGGATATTTATGAATGAATGAATGAATGAATGAATGAATGAGAATATATTGTCTCTTGGAAATGAACTCTAAGAATTTTGCATTGTGAGGTGGACCTGAGCTTTTGGGGGCCAGGGCCAGAATACTATGGTTTAGATATGAAAGTTCATGTGGGAGAAAATGCAAGAAAGTTTGCAGGTGAAATGATTAGATAATGACAGCCTTAAACTGATCAACATGTTAATTCACCGATAAGAATAAACTTGATAATTGTAGGTAGGTAAAGTGTGGTTGAAGGAGACGGAGAGCACTGAAGGCATTCCTTTGGGAATATATTTTTTCCCTGGTCTCTGCTTCCTGTTTGACATGTCCTGACCTACTCTCTTTCTCCACACCCTTGGATTAGGTGATGGTGTTCTGTCTCACTTCAGGCCCAGAGCCATGAATCCACTTTCTGTGAATGGAGACTTTGGAAACTATGAGTGCCAAATAAAAATTTTTATTCTCTAAAATTGTTCTTGTCATGAATTTTAGACACAGTGGCAAAAAAGGCTTACTAAAATTAACTTAATAGCTACCATATAACCTTTAATAGTATTATGATATCAATACTATAATGTCCAAAACTAATATAAGCCTGCACTCTGGTCTTTAATACTGTTGCCAAAACTCAGTTCTTATCTTCAATGCCAATCCTATAATGAGGGCACAGCTTTGATAGCAAAGGAGAAACACAGGGGACTCCTATCCCAAAGTCTAGGATTCTGCCCATCATCAGGAACAGAGGCCTTTTAAAGAGATGATTCAAAGGCTACACTGCGTGTGTTCTCTGTCTGGAATTGTAATTTACTCATTAATTTCAGAGATAGTAATTTCTGAGATCTTCTTGTACCATCCTCAAATTCTGGATGACTTCATTCCTAAAGTGGATGTGTAGTTAAGGACAGAGAAATTTACCTGAATGGGAAAGAAAGGTAATCCTGTTTCCCCTGAGATTAGGGAGGAGCAGAGAGAGAAATAAAGAAAAATAAATA